AGATTTCTGGACCTGATCGATTGTCGGCTGGCTCCGACAGTCCAATATTCATAGATTGAGTCAGCAATTAAAGGTGGACTAGGCCCTGACATGCTAATATTACAGTGCATTAACTTTTTAATAGTAAAAGCTATTTTTACCCTAAGTTGTATGTGAATGCACAGTGACATGCTATCCATACAGATGAGCAACCAGAACACTACTGGAAAGAAAAAAGGGAGAAAGTTTACATCTTGGGATAGAAAAGTTTTCCTCCTTTTGCAGGATATGGGAAGCAAGTACGAGATATCTTGGTCTCAGCCCTCCCCGCTCCCGCCTTCCTGTCCTCTCAGGACACTGAATAAATTTTTTTCACGGTTTAGCCTCAGAGTAGATTCCAATTGATCAGGGCTAATGACAAATGTACACGTGTGTATATGTGTGTGTGTGTGTGTGTGTGTTAGAGGTGCAGATTTCCAGCTCCAACTGAATGCCCACAGCTGTGGATGAAGAGGCACTCCTGTGGGAGAAGAGAAACGCTGTTTTATCTATTGGCATCTTACAGTCACAGTACTGAAATGCATGACTGTCATCTTTTGTGCTACCTTTCATGAATCTTCACTAGTTGCCAAACTTTTCCCCCTTCCTCCAAACTCCTGAGTGCTTTGGACCTCATTTCATTATGTATATAATTTTATAATACATGTATATATGTATATATAGCTTAACACATTTTATTTCCCAAATCTGTTTCTAAGTCTCTGAGAACTGGCAAGTAACCAAATACTCGGAGAAAAGGCCCGATAGACTCATCCCTGAATGACATACTTTAAGAAAGATATTCTCAGGGACCCACACAAGCTGCCGCAGCTGCCAGCTTCGGAAGGCTGTAGTATCATATCCCACTCCGTAACCAGAGCTTGTGCAGTACCACGTGTTCATACACAAGTTTATGGCCCAATTTAAACAGCCAGTTACTCTCGCTCACTCTCCTAAATCACTAATCAAGTGAATGAATATCTTACTCGACAGAGCGTAATGGCTTAAGTCACTCGCTTCATATTAAATAGTAATTAAATAAGTGGATGAAAAATATTGCCTGCCATATCAGTAAACCAAAGATGTTGCAACCATCAAGCCATCACGTTGCAGCAGTCCCCGAAGGTAAGCCCTGAGGGAACTCAGCACGGAAACAGGCTGCCTGCTGCCAAGCAAGTAACTTTCTGTCCTTTCCCCTTTTGAAATTTTCCTAAACCGGCTTCATTCTCCTCCACTATTTCCACGTTTCCATGGGAGACGAAAATAAGCAGGATTTCAGGGCTTCTGGGTACCAGCCCTGTCCCTGCGTGGCAGAACAGAAACCGGGAGAATCCTGCAATAGGGGCCGGCCCTCCGGGCTCGCTCAGGACTGGAGGGCCGCCGTCTGGAGAGGGAGGATGCTAGACGGCGGGGCGGTGTTTCTGGGCCGGGGGTGCCCGCCTGGCGGCGAAATAAGGGCGCCGAGGAGAGAAAGTGGACGCGGAAGGGGGAAAGGGGGACAACCGACAGCAGAGGGCAGCTGGGGCGGCCAGGGCGGGGAGCGGAAGAGGATCCGGGGGAGCGGAAGGGGAAGTCGGCGCCACTGCGGCCTCCCGGGCAGCTTGACCGTAGGAGCCGCTCTTAGAGTATAATCTGGGAGAGAACCCGAGCGTGTCGGTAAGTAACGCATCTTAATGCTTCGCCA